ACAAGATTGATACCCGAGGTCGTTCATTGCAACATGATTTGATAACTGAACGGATCCGAGGGAAGAGATCGTGGTCCAGGGACAGGAAGCACATGAAGGGAATGGGGTGCAGCCCGGCTGGAGCGCCGTGCAGTCACTCACAACCACGGCTGCTCAGCTGAAGTCAGGGGAAAGCGTGTGTGATGAACAGCTTTTAAAAATGCACAACACACAGACGGGATAGGTGGTGATGGAAAGAACAAAATTTAAAATAAGTAAATATGTGAATAAATATGTGTAAACACGTAAGATCCATGTAGACATATGAAAATATGTATCTGGCCCTAACCAGTTTGGCTCAGTGGATAGAGCGTTGGCCTGCGGACTAAAGGGTCCCAGGTTCGATTCTGGTCAAGGGCATGTACCTTGGTTGCAGGCACATCCCCAAAAGAGAGTGTGCAGGAGGCAGCTGAATCGATGTTTCTCTCTCATCGATGTTTCTAACTCTCTATTCCTCTCCCTTCCTCTCTGTAAAAAATCAATAAAATATATTTTTTTTTAAAAAGAAAGAAAATATGTATCTGGAAGGATATGCACCAAAATGCTCTCTCGGGGCGTCAGGATTTTAAGAAATTCATAATTCTTTTATATGCTTCTCTACTCTTTCCAGTTTTTCTGCAACAATATGTTTTTCATTGTTATTAGTAAAAAGAATTAGTTGTTTTTTTAAATTCAGCAGAAACTTTAGAAATCAAACCTTCTTTCTAAGCACAATACAGACATTGTACTGTGTACATAGTGATGAAATAGCGTGTTTATAATCATCACAGAAAAAACATCGTCTTGTGTCCTGAATAAGGTGGTCAATTCGCAAGTACGCGCACTGAGATGCAATTTCATGGGCCAATCACAGCCAAGTGTGTTGGGTAACGTGTTCCTTCCGGCGAGTGTTTCTGAGGTTCCCTCTGCCTGCCGAGTGTCAGTGTCAGTCAGTGAGAGAACATTCGTCCTCTCTGACATTGGGAAAGGCGGTCGGGAAGGTAGAGATATGTAAGTCTGATACATTCTAAAGCTATATATAAGTCTGTTAGTCAGGTAACGCCTCTTGAAGAACTGAACTTTAATATTCGTTAATGCTACAGCTTAAAACACAGTTATGGGTTAAGCTCAAGCCACCGTGGAATAATCAAGGGTCACTGAGGTAGTTATTGCACTGATGTATTACAACACACTTTGAGCATTACAATTTGCTTACCTAAAATTCCAATTTCTAAGCCTTTGAGTTCTTCTTTAATATCCTCATAGATGTCGTCCTTGGTGAAATCTGCTTGTATGATCCTCACACTCCTCCCTGTAGTGCGCTCTGCATTCGAGACAATGTTATTCTTCAGTGATCACGAGTCCAAATCCCCTCTTGCCCATGGAGTTCCCCTGCTCTCCCACGCACCATGAGCGACGTTTATGAGCACAAGCCCACCACCCCATTAGAGACAAGAAGTAGCCCGGATAAAGCTGGCATGTGCTAGAGGGGTGAGTCTGAGCGTTACCACAGTAACAAGTACATGCATTAGATTTAACGCAGTGATTCTCAAAGTGGGGTCCCCAGAACACAGCATCAGCACCACCAGCAACTGGTTAGAAACACAAAACCTCAGGCTCCACCCAGGACCTAGAGAGCCAGGCACCCCTGGGAGGCCCAGGGGTCTTCTGCACCCGCGCCCCAGCTGACTCTGTTGCTTGCTCTGTTGAGAGGCCTGGCCTAAGGGCTGCGGAGCACAGTGTGAGGCCCCCTGTGCCTCGTCGGGCCCCTCCACAGAGACACAGCCACCCTCTGCATTTGCCCAACACGTTAGCATTCACCAAGCATTTACCTGCACCACCTCCTATTTTAATCCTCTCTCCAACCGTGCCAAGTAGGTGCTGTCCGCATTTTCCAGAGGAGAAACCAGCTGAGACGCTAATGCCTTGCCCGAGGCACCCGCACTGCTTCCGGCCAGGCCCTTCCACTCTCCCACGTGAACTAGCCTCGTGCGGTGAACCTGCCTGTGCAGGAGCTCAGCCAGATGTGGAAGCAGCACAGATGTCACCAGCTGCCCTCTCAGTGCTGGAGCCAGACCCAATATTTCTGGGGCAAGTGATGTTGAGGCATAGTTTGGGGGTGGGGGCGCTTTCAGACTGAAGACACTGCTTGCTCTTTAAGAGGCCGATAAAATCACACGTTAACATTGTGGGAGGAGCACTGAAGAATGCCCAAGTCCTGGTCAGAGTTACTTCTGATATCCAGACACAGAATTCATCGGCCCAAGGGCACTGAGCCTCCCTGTCCGCCTCCTAACCCTGACGCCCCAGGGACACAAACTGTCCCCCAGGCGGCCTGCCATGGTTTCCCGAGTCTTTATCATTAAAGGCCTATTCCTTTGAGTTAAGGAGTGTATTAATTACTAAATTAATAATTGATCATTAAAATGCAAATCCCAAAACGGGATACTGTGATCGTCATTAGCTAAGGACACTTCAGAGGGGTCATGATAATAACACGCTGTCCTGTGAGTGCGGCCTCCCAGGGCTGTGCAGTGCAGTCTTCACAGCCTGCACAGCAGCCCTGAGCCAAGTCTTTTTTTTTAAATCTGAGTGTCACCACGAAGCATCGCCCCTACCCTTCCTGCACGGAGCAGAGCACAGACATGTGGAAGGGAAGTCCCACGGGGAGTGGCAGAAGCCACCAGGAAGCTGGGCCTCTGGATGGGGAGGTCTGATTCTAGAGATGAGGACGCGGGACCAGAGAAGAGAGAAGACCTACTGGTGCTGCTCTGAGGCACCAGAGACTCAGCGGTGAACGAACGCCCCCTTCACAGCCCGCAGGTAGCTTTCTAAACTGAGCTCAAGCAGAAGGGCCCGCACCCCAGGGTCCAGGGAGCAGGTGGGGATGCTGGCGGTGCCTCTGCAGGCAGGACCAGAGCAGACCTGGCCAGAGGGCTCCACCGGCACTTCCCTCATTCCTTGGGGTCGCTCACCAATCTCCACGGCAATAGCCTGTAGTTTTTCCAGCGTCCGGCTGATCAGCACAACATTGAGGCCTTGTCTTGCGAGCTGGGATGGGAAAACCAAAAGAGAGAAGACAATCAGCAGACAGGAAGGCTTGACTGAAAGGTGAATTGGGGCATCACCCACTGGGTCCCAAGGTGAGGTGCTGGCTTTTTCTGGGTTTAAATGTGCAGACATTTCTGGGTTATGAGCAAAACAGCCGCCCTGGGCCAGGCTAAACGTGACATAATCCTGCGTGTGTTTATGACGTGCGAGGAACTAGTCCACGTTCCCTTTTGTACAGACCACAGCCCGACGCCCTCTCATCGGGACCTCTCGGGTGTGGACTGGTGCTGGAAATCAGGATTTGGAAGACGCTATACTATCCTAATATATAAAAAGCCAGGGGACGTCACAACCAAAACAACCGGATGGATGACTGAACAGTAGGCTGCATGGGGCGACCAGGCTGGCGGGGGGGGAGGGGGGGGGCGGGGGCAGTGAGGGATGACCAAATGACTGAACAGCAGGCTGCATGGGGTGACCATGCCGGCACAGGGAGCGGGGGGGCAGTTGAGGGCAACCAGGCCAGCAGGGGAGGGGGCATTTGGGGGCAACCAGGCCAGCAGGGGGGGCAGATAGGGGTGATCAGGCAGGCAGGCAGGTGAGCGGTTAGGAGCCAGCAGTCCAGGATTGTGAGAGGGATGTCCAAGGGGTCCCGGATTGGAGAGGGTGCAGGCTGGGCTGAAGGGACCTCCCCCCCCTGCCACCATACATAAATTCCATGCACCGGGCCTCTAGTACTTTACATAACAGGCCCCAGGCAGCACTGCTCCATAAAGACCCGATTCCTGCAGCACCTTCTGAGCCGCTTCCTGCTCACAAGAATGCTCTCCTTGTGGTTCGCTCTGCACAGACATGCTCATGCCCTGAGCCCTGTCGCCTGTCCTCTGGCTCCCAACTGGAGGGTACGTGCCTGCTTCCCTGAGACCCGCAAGGAATTCTCTTCGGGGTAGATATGCCCCGACTCCTGGGGGCCGAGGGACGCAGGACGGGAATGGCATGCATTAACGTGGGCTTCGCACCGAACAATGCTACACGTGAGCAAAATTAGAGCTTTGCCCAAGGACAGAGGGAAAACCAATGATCATGTGAACAGGCTGATGACATCTGAGTTAGTGACAAAGGACCCAGTTCATTAAAATCTTTCTCTATGGTTTTAATTAAATGCCTTATACTGTTACTTTTTAAATTGTGGTAAATTATACTGAAAGGAATTCTAGGGACAAAATAGGCAGGTTTAGGGAACACAGAGGGTCCATGGGGGGAGGCATGCATATGTGAAGGATGAGCAATTGAAGCAATTAGAAGGTAGATCAAAAGCAGCCCTGACATGAGCAGCTTGGAGACGCCAAAATGCTTATCTTACTTGTACAACGGACAGAAAAATGCCACAGGAGAAGGAGGGAAGAGGACATACATTCACCGAGGATACAGAAAAGTCACAGGATAATGGAACGAAGGAAACATATTTTCACAGAGAATAGAGGAATGTTATAAGACAAGGGGAGAGGAAGAGGGGGCACCACTGGGCTTTGGCCTTTGAAACCGATACTGTGTAACAAAGTAACCAATGAGGAAAGCATGGGGGTCCTAAATTAATGAAAGGTCCAATTAGAGAGGGTCAGGTTCAAACCAAGAACTGCAACATATATAAACCGGAGACAAAGGGACACGAGGAGGGATTTATTTTAATTTTTCCCATTAGTGAGAGATCAGGCTTTTCCCATTTGGGGGCCCCTCCCTAGGGGGGTCCCCTGTGGGACACCTCTGCCCAGATGGTGTTTGTATATGCTTCCAATAAACTTCTACATTTTTATTAAAGAAATGTGTTAGTCCATGAATTTATTCTTCATCTTCATCAGACAAGATGCCACAAGAAGTCTGTACCTCAAACCCCACAGTTCAATACACAACAGAAAATGTTCCATGTTGACAAATGTATGGGATGTTTCATGAATTTGCATGTCTCCCTTGTGCAGGCCCAGGCTCGTCTTCTCTCTATCATTCCAGTTTTAGTACATATGTGGTCGAAGCGAGCACTATGCCAACATTGCAATGAGGAATTACATGTTATAGGAAACATAAGAAACCGAATTAAAGACTATACTATAGGGTCTACAATAACCAATAATTCGATCTTCAAGCCAATGGTCTCAGAATCACCCAGGAAGATGTCAAAAAACACCAATTCCTACCAAAACCATCCAAATAAAAATCTCTGGGGTGGAAGCCTCAGCGTTTACATATTTTTCTGTTTTGATTTATTAAATTATACTATTGAATACACCAATGCATTCTCACTGTAGAAGGCGTCCCTGAGGCCACCACAGTCCCATTTCCTCGCCCCCCACAGGCTCTCCCTGCCTGGAGTTTGGCATTGATCCTTCCTAACTTTATCTCAGCATCTACATGCACATATAAGTACATACAGAAGTAAATGTGTGTGTTGTGGGTTTTCTTTCTTTGCACACTTTACAAATGGCATTGTAAGTGCTACCTTTTTAACATAATGCTGTGTCTTATCCCTGAGCATGGGACATATTTCCACATCAATTCATGCTGAGCCACTTGACTCTTTTTATTGCTTCCAGGTGCTTATAGTTCATATGGGTGAGCATTTAAGTTGTTATCAAGTTTTCTTATTACTTATAATGCTACAAAGAAAACCTTTCTATATAGCTCCTTGTATATACAAGTGAATTAATTCCTAGAGTAGATAGACAAGTGGAATTGTTGTGTTAAGGGTATATGCTTTTTAAATTTTAACAGTATTGCCCAAATGTCCTCCCTTCAAACTGTACCATCAAAAATACAATTATAGCTATTTCTCTACTCTCTGGCCAATAGTTTATATTAACAAACTTTTCAAAATTGTCCAATCTAATGGTCAAGAAATGATATCCTTTTATTGTTTTAATTTTTCCAATTAACAGTGGGGCTGAGTATCTTTTTGTATGTTTATGTGTGAAATACCAGTATATACCCTTTGACCATCCTTCTACTGGTGTTTTGTCATTTTCTTATAAATTTGTAGGAGGTTTTTTATATATTCTGGGTAATAATTATTTGCCTACTGTATATGTAGCAGTGTTTCTCCTTTGTTTATGGTGTCTTGGCATACATGATAGGTTATTGTAATGTTATCAAGTTTGTGACTTGATAGGTTTGTTAATTTTTTTCTTATGATTTTCTCTAACTCCAAGGATATAGATAGATTTTCCTACAACCCTTCGTAGCTTGGTTATTGTCATTTTTTTTGAAAAAGGTGTGAGGTTGAAATCATCTAGCATTATATTTTTCAAAATGGGTGGCTAACTGTCTCAACGATATTTTTCTATTTGTCCTTTCTGTCCTGATTTGAATGCCAACTTAGTCATATGCAAAATTTTCATAAGTACATGGGTCTGTTTCTGATTGATTTGTTCTGTTTCATTGACCTGTTTGTTATTTAAATGACACGGCCACTTCTGATTTAATCATAATCTTACAATAAAGCTTTGGTATCTAATGTCTGATAGAGGAAGTCCCTACCCTGTACTATTCTCTTTCAAAATGTTATTTTTTAATCTTCTTAGTGTGATTTTACAGATAAAGCTGTATATATTTTAAAGTATTATGTTAAAATTAGAGACATTTAGGTGGAAATTACACCTTGGCAGTAGTCAGTTGTCATCCATAAATATGGTATCCATTTATTCAGATTTCATACATTCTTCTAAACACTTTTAAAGTTTCTTCATGTAAATCTTGGACACTTCTTGTTAATTTGCACTAGTTAGGATAACATTAGCTGCTGTAACAAATAACTCCAAATTTCAGTGGTTTACCACAAAGAAGTTTGTGTATTTTTTTGTCTTATGTAACAGACTCTCTTCCGGGGCAGACCTCCATCTTTATGAAAGTGAGTGTGGTAGATGTGTCATCTCCCACCATTGGCTCTTTATTAAGCTAATTATGCCAATTCTAAGTTTTACAATACCCATGCCACAGCTTAATTTTCTTGTGTACAAACGTTTATTTTACAACTGCCTCTAGCCTTTGTAGTTTGTTTTGTAGGTAACGTTACCCCTAACCTTATCACATGAATAAGGCCGTAACGCACACATTGTGATAAAACAAAAAATTAATTTTGATGTTAAATCGTTAAGGAAAACATCATCCCAAACTTTGATACAGGCAAAACAATAATGCTTGGATTGTTTATTAACACCACCCTCAAATGTTTTCCAATAAGCGGCCCGACCTGGTCTGACGCTGGGGCAGGTAACCACTGCCATGGAACAAGGCTAGGGACAGAGGGTCTGTGGGCTCAGAGCCTGGCCCAGAGGCTGACCCAGAGGTGGCGCGGTCACTGCCCCGTGGAAAGGGAGCCTGGCCGGTACCTATCTTGCCCATATGATTTCACATTCCTTTCCCGACTGACTACATACAGCCCCGCTTATCAAATGCTCTCCAAGGAGCTCCTTTGTCTTCCTGCTGTATGCTTCCTAGCTACGTTCAATAAAAGTCCAACAAGTTTTCACAGGTATCCTTGTGCTTTTAAAATATTAGCGATCCTTTGAGTTATTTGGCTAAATGAACACAATGATTACACTGTCATCGTAATATCTGCAGGATTTCAGAAGTGTCCGTACCGCTATGCTCTATTAAAGACAAGAACATCCAAGAGGAGTAAATTAAAACCGGGCTGCATGCTATCTTCCAGAAACACACCCAAAACATAAGGTTGAAACTGAAATGAGAAAAAACATTGCATATATCTATGGAACACCAACCAAAAGAAAAAAGGCACAGCTTTATCAATATCAATCACAACAGGCATTAAAGCAAATCAGTATTACTAGAAATATAGATTAGTCCGTTCATCAGGAAGATACAGCAGTTCTAACCCTGGATGACCCACAAAACAGGGTTACATAGGCCTGCACAGACGGCTGAGAAACACACCATCAGAATTGGCCAACAATTTTTAACTTCTTTTAAAGGTTTTCATTTTTAATTGTATTAGAAATGTGAAGTTTAAAAATAAATAGAACAAAAAATGAAAACTTTAGTAGAAAAGCTGAAGAATAAAATTAATGAAATCCTTTTGTAGATAGGAAAGCAAAGAGCCAAAGAAATAGAAATTATGAGGGGGGGGAAGGCTAATAGGGGATGAATAATAGGAGTTCCGGAAATAATATTACCCGACATCTGAATAATTAGAGTTCCCGAAAGAAGAGAGAAAATAGAGGAGGAATGTGAACTTCCTGGGAGGGGCGACTCCACTGTGTCCCCCACCACCCAGCCTCTCGGTATTTCTGCTCATTTTCAGATATAGCTGCTGCCCCTTCCCAGTGATTTTGTGAACTAGATGGTAACCGTTGATAAATGTGTTTCGTGCTAAAGTTTTCTAAACATGGTAAGAGAATGTTTTCAAAAAAAAGTATGTGCCAACACATTTGAAACCTTAGGTGTCATAGATGCATTTCTTGAAAAATATAAGTCCAAGACTTATTCAAGAAAAATTAAAAACCCAATAGTCATATAGTCACTAAAAATAATAGCAATAATCAATATGATATATTCATCCAAATAAGAAGTGATGCTGATAATGATATAAGTAAATAGTTCAAATTGTCCCACAAAGAAAACTCCAGCCACAGGTGGTTTTACAGATAAACTCTATCAAACATCCAAAAAAAACCCCAATAATTCCAAAAGGATAAAAGAGATAACATTTCCCTATTCGGTTCATGAGGCCGCCATCACCTCAACACCAAAACTTTGGAAACTGGCTGGAGCCAACGTTACCGAGCAATGTTGCCTCTGCCTAAGTTCTGAGCCCGCAATTCTGCTCCTGGGCACGTTCTCGAGGAGTCCTTTGGAGACATGGACAATGCATTCATGGCAGCAAATTAGAGATGGCAGAAATGTTCGTCAACAGAGGTAAGGGTAGCTAAGCCGGGACATATTTACATAATGGAATACTACATAATTATGAAAATGAATGAACCGTGTTCTACACACATCAGCCGGGATGAATTTCAAAGGCATGCTATTGATCCATCAAAAGCAGGTTGCAGAAGACATCTGAACCAGTTTACATGGAAATCAAAACAAGTGGTGCAACCAACACATTGTTAGGGTCACGTGCATATGTAATAAAACGCTCTAAGTAAGGACATTTTAACACAATGATCATGATCTGTGCTTACATGAGTGGGGGTGAGGGAGAGACACAAAGGCATGTCATGACTACGGAATGTCTCAAGGATGAGAGTGATGTTCTATTTCATTTTTTAAATACATTTTTATTGATTTCAGAGAGGGAGAGAAAGAGAGAGATGGAAACATCAATGGTGAGAGAGAATCATTGATTGGCTGCCTCCTGCACGCCCCCTACTGGGGATCGAGCCCGCAACCTGGGCATGTGCCCTTGACCAGAATTGAACCTGGGACCCTTCAGTCCACAGGCCAATGCTCTAACCATTGAGTCAAACTGGCTAGGGCTGGTGTTCCATTTCTTAAGCTGTGTGATAAGGGACACAGTACTCATTTTATTATCTTTTGTAATCATGCCTATGCATTACACACACACACACACACACACACACACATCATGGCATAGTACAATGAACCTACAATGAACCTAGGATACTCAAAACTTGAAACAAAATTAATGGGTTGAAGGCAAGCCACCCAGGAACAAAGCAATGAATCCAGGGGAACATAAAAATAATTAAAAGCTACTGTTTTCATTTAAGGCAAGATGAGAGAGAATGAGCTAAGAGTGCAGCGGGAATAATTTAGACTCGAGCAATGTAAACATTAGGAAGAAGAAATTCCTTGCTGAGACGGCGTAAGGCACCATCATATATGCCAAGTAAGTGTGTGCTGACAGTCAAGAGTAGGGATGGCAGTTATTTTTCCTGGCTGGTCTGAAGCAGAGCTGGCAAGTGAATTTCCTCCAAGGCCCAGCTCTGTGCCGTTCCCTTAGCTTCCAGGAGAGCTGTCTTGAGAAGAAGTCTGACTGCCCTTGTCTGCTGCCCTGGGGCTGG